TTTTGAAAAATCATTAGRTGGRGTGCTTTTATACTTGCTAGGCAAATCGGTTAACTGRTCAAACCTTTAATGAGTCGTACAAAATAGTACTTGTTAAGTGGAAACCAACACCGATTATAACCGGTTATTAGAATAGTATTTCTGTAACTAGTATCACATTTCACATATATGATTAACCATAACCAATTATATTCATTCTCCACATAAACAAGTTATCAATCTGAACTGCCATTAAAAAACAATTCGTCAGGATCCAGATGCATGATAATGCTAGGTCAAAACGACCGCTTTCCCATTAATACATCCGTGTACAGACACGGGTAATTAAGTCGGCAAAGTGTCTGACCGACATCTGTTGCTGCATTAAGCGCTTAWTGATATTGATATTACCACTTAACTTACTGGATTGGTTAACGTGTTTTTTATTATCTTATCATCTATTTGATTTCATTTAGAGCAAGTTACGGATTTGGTCCTTGAGATTTGCGAATTACTATGAATTTGGTCCTTTATATCTTTATTTATTACATAATAAACCTCCATCTATGTAATTTGTTTTGGATTTGGTCTGTTGATGGCCATTTATTTAGTCTGTTAAACTCTAGGACATTGTGGTCTTTTACCATTTTCATCCATTTTAGCATATATACATATATATATATATATATATATATATATATATATATATATAAGGGTTTATTCAAGGGAAAATTGATTAGTTTGTGTTAACCATGAGAACCACTCGTTTAAGATATTTAAATATGTTTCTTAAATAAGCTAAAAGGGTAATATAGTAATTTTATTTTTGACAACTAAACTAAATATTTAATTAAATTTTTTAGAAGGAAATATTTAATTAAAATTAGTTACCTAGTATATYAATTACCTAATATACATCGTATTTTMAAGACGTTTGTGAATCAAAGTGTATCGTAGTGATAACTTTCACAATGTATTTTCCTTGTTTTATGATAGTGTGCATTTTCATTACTTTACAAAGGATATCACATTGTGCATCTTATATGTATATTTGTGTATCACAATAAATATCATTTGTAGGTATCACGGTGTGTATCGATGTTGGAAGTTTATTTAGCATCAAAACATATTTGTTTAGTTTAAATAATAATTATTTGGTCATGCGTAAATAGAAGTTCGAACATGAAATACAATATTCAAAACTTAATTTTCATTCTTTTTTAGTATAGAGTAATCAGAGCATCTTTAATATATTCTTTAAAATTGGAGATTTAAGGAATTTTATTTATGTCAAGAGATCATCCAAAACCTTAAATTGGAGAAAATAGAAGAGAAAATATAAACTTCTTCAAGTTTGAAGAACTCTTTAAAATTGATTGTTTCCGTCTTTGAAATTAAATATCTATACTATATTATAAAGAATTTGACAAAAAATCTTAAAAACCATTTTTATGTGTAAAGTACTGTTTATTAATGCATATTATTTAAATTTTAAGATTGTAAGTAGATTGTGCGTAAGTATAACTTATTAAAGCTCCATATCTGAATTCGTGTAACTAACTGCAGATAAACATAATCAAATACAAGATAAACATCTCATTTTAAATATAAGAAATCTAAAATATAATTAGGATAATCATTGAATTGTAACATAAT